GGGGGGGTTGGGGGTGTACACCATGTTACGCATGCGCAATACAGTTTACACACAAAATAAAAAAAATTGCTAGAAGTAGAAAATGTTTTTTTGGGCAGAAGTTTTCATGTCTCATTTACAAAAAAAATAGCATTTTTTAAATGTATTTGCAAGGAGGTCTGTGCCTCCATAAGGACCTTGGGCTAGAAGAACAATCTGCAGCATTCAGAGCATTGCACCCATAATCCAGCAACCGCAGAATCAAATATAAAAACGTAATGTTTTTTTTTCTATCAGTGTGTTTGCATTTATTATTGTTTTTGCAAAATGTGTAATAAGCCTTTAAAAGAACGATATTGTAGCAATGTCCATGTATATTCTATATTTTGTACAAATATGTATAAAGAAGCATCAGTATTGCGCTGAGCTCATCATCATCACTCTGTACAGCTCATCAAGACCGAGAGCGCGCTTTCCCTTCCAGGTTACCCGCACCCGCGCATGCTCTTCAGTACAGTGTGTGGACGCGTGGCTCGGCTCTTCCGCACATGCGCACTGGCCGGCCAGTATTTGGTGCTTGTGTCATCTGCTTGACTCAGGAGCGTCCCGGGGTGTCCGGACTGTACAGGTGGGAGATGCATTGTGCTTCTACTATACTCGGTGTTCTTCAATCATCAGCGAATGTCCATCACTGTGCAATCAGCAGATTAGATAACATAGGCACTAAAGTGTTTCTAAGGCAGTCTAATGGTACCCTTCGCTCTATACCTGGGTTTCTATGATTGTTATGGGGGGGATCATGTAGGTACCCTTACTTCATGGCTGTGTTAGGCTAATTGTTAGGGGGTGATTATGTAGGTACCCTTAGCTCCATGGCTGTGTTAATATAATGGTTTTGTGGGTACCCTTAGCTGTTTGGCTGTGTTGGGATATTGGTTATGTAGGTACCTTTTAGTCTCATGGCTGTGCTGGGTTAATGGTTATGGTGTGGTTATGTAGGTACCTTTCCCTCCATGGCTCTGTATAGATGATGGTTATGGGGTATTGTAGGTAACCTTAGCTCCATGGCTCTGTTTGGATGATGTTTATGGGGTGGGGGGTATTGTAGGTAACCTTAGCTCCATGGCTCTGTTGAGATAATGGTTAGGGGGTGATTTGGTACATTTTTAGCTCCCTGGCTGTGTTAGGATAATGGTTAGGAAGAGGGGGGTATCCACATATGTAGGATAGAAAGTTTCATGTGATGTGCCATCTGAGCAGAGGACACGGATGTGCATTGACCTGTGACCATGGACAGTGTGATCGCAGGTCACCAGGTGTAGGGTTTATGTACACAGCCGAATAGATAAGTCACTTTGTGCTTTGCTTTTATGCATCCATTTCATCCATTTAAAACCAGGATAAGTGCCCCTAAAACATCCATATGTACTAGTGTGAGCATATACCGTAGTACATAGCCTTGTGTTGTATTGCTTTGCTGTTAGAGTAATAATTGGGGTGGGCATACATAGCCATATGTTGTATTGCTTTGTTATTAGAGTCATGATTAGGATTGGACATTGAGGGTCATACATAGCCTTATGTTGCTTTAGTCTATTAGCCATGAGTAGCTTGGACATCGGTGGGCATACATAGCCTTATGTTGCATTAGTCATGAATATCTTGGACATCGGTTGGCATACATAGCCTTTTGCTATATTACTTTGTTATTAGTCATGATTTAGGTTGGACATTGAGGGTCATACATAGCCTTATGTTGCATTCGTCTATTAGTCATGAGTAGCTTGGACATCAGTGGGCATATATAGTCTTATGTTGTATTAGTCTATTGGTCATGAGTAGCTTGGACATCAGTGGGCATATATAGTCTTATGTTGTATTAGTCTATTAGTCATGATTAGCATGGACATCGGTGGGCATACATAGCCTTATATTGTATTAGTCTATTGGTCATGAGTAGCTTGGACATCAGTGGGCATATATAGTCTTATGTTGTATTAGTCTATTGGTCATGAGTAGCTTGGACATCGGTTGGCATACATAGCCTAATGTTGTTTTGCTTTGCTATTAGAGTAGACTTTGGTGGTCATATCTAGCACTGCCATTAGAAGGGAACGTTTGAAATTTGATGCTGTGTTCTCTGGCTGGAGAGGCTGTGCATTGATATGTGGCTGCTGTCAGCCCATTCACTGACAACGTGGCAGCACTGTGCTATTATTACTGTCATTGGGAATCGCTCCAGGTTTAAATACCTTTTACTATTTTGTAAGCTTTCTAACAATCTGACACGATTCAATACTTCTACATTCTCATCCAATGTTTGATGCAGAGATGCTTGGATAATGTAAATTAATTGTGATTTCATATAAAATTGCCATTTAATATGATGCAGAATATACTATGCAGTAATAATTATTCATATTGAAAGGTAGCATACTGTGCTGCAACTATTCCCAAGGTTTCATCAGCTTGTGTGTGTATATTCGTTGGTGCGGATGATTTCATTGGTTTGTGTGGAACACGTGGTCATGCGGCCAGCCCCATTAGTGACTCGGGGAGGAATTTTATATGAGTATTATATCTGATACATCTGCAGACTGAAAGGAGGAATTCTGTCCTATAGGCCAGAGGTGGGTAAGAAGGAGTTCATTTGTCACAGTACAAGAAATGGAAAAGTTAGAATTAGGATAGAATTTGTTGTTTTTCTTTTGTGTGAGAAAGGAACTTTTTGTTTGTAAACTTTGAAACATTCCTCTGTAGCTATACTCGGATGAATTTGCTTTTGTAATTTTAATGTAAACAGTTTTGCAGCTCGGCTTTCATTTCTTTTGTATATTTCTTTTGTATTCCCCAAGTGTTTTTAAAAATACCTTTTTATCCTGTCTTTATATTTGATATCCATTTTGTAGTTCTGACAACTGACAACATTGTAGAACTATATTGTTTTGGGTGTGCTGAAAGAGTTTTTTTGTTTCTTTTCTGCAAAGTAAAAGTATAATGTATGTGACTTAAAATGCCAGAATATAATGGGGGGAATTTATCAAGGCAATTGCAACAGTTTTAGCCTCTTGGATCATTTTTTTAAATTATGTTTATATTTATTATTTTTATATTATGTTATATTTAACCTCATTTGTTAACAACATTACACTAGCATCATAAATCTGGCACAAAGTGCATCAAATATATTCCGTGCAAGTTCAAACACTCGCAATTGCTATGATAAATTCCCCCCAATGTAACCAATGTATAATGCTAGCGCTCTGGGTTTGGATAGATAGAAGATTGGTTAGAACCTCTGCAAAAAATGGCTCCAAAAGAGACCATGATGGCAATAGTAGCCTTTTTTTAAAAGTTATGTTAAATTTTATTAATTTTTCAATCCGTCAGCATACTGTATATCACAACATGTAATGGGTAATATCATACTTAAAATGCAACATTAAACAAATTATATCTTTTAGATTGTAAGCTCCTTGAGGACAGGGACTGATGTGACTGTACAATATGTAAAGCTCTGCGTAAATCGATGGTGTTATATAAATACCTGAATAATAAAAAAGGGTTATTTTTCATTAGAATTGATGACTGCCATAAAGGGTTAGAACAGAACAGTTGGGGTAAAAAAACAGCGTTGGGTAACTATTCCAATGTAATTGGGTAATAGCAGTGTTGTGAGAAATGAGACAAGTACATTAAAGATGGTAACATGCTTCTGTGAGTAGGGCTGCAGCTAACGATTATTTTCATAATCGATTAGTTGGCCGATTATTAAGTTCGATTAATCGTATAAAAAAAAAAAAGGCTCCAGTGATGGACTACTAGTTTGTGGTGAGATTGTAGTCCATCACGGATCTGTGAGACAGTTTGGGTGGTCACTTGGGCCCTGTGGTGGGATATAGTGTTCGTGCAGTGAGCCATGTTGGTGTTTTGTAGATGGATGAGGGGTGGATAATGGCATTAAGGGGAAGGCTGGTGGGAAGGAGACACAGGATGGGAGCTTACTTGCCCAGCACGCCCCAGACACCCCCACCCTCCCATCTTGGGCATGGTATCCTTTCAATAAAAGCAGGACCAGCAGTCCTGCATTGTAAGGGGGGAGGGGGCGGCACCCACAACCCAGAGTGAAGGACGCCAGTTGCTGGAAGAGCTTCGAGGTAATAACTTCTTAAGTGGGGAGTGCTTAGATTTCCTGTGTTTGCTCCCATTATATTGCATTTCATTTGCAGTTGGTGGTCCATCTCCATCCTTGGAGGGTGTGTTTGAGAATGATCAGAGTCCACAGTGTTGCAACTTCTATAATCAGTCTGTGATAACTATTCATCTTCTGTTTACAGCAGGATGTTGTGCCGGGCAACTCTGAGCGCTAGCAGGTGTACCAGTGCCCGATGTCTCCTCTCCCGGGTCCAGATCATCGCCGCGTCTTCTCATCCAAAATGTACGTATTTTAATCCAGAGTACTTTCTGATTGCTTTATGTCCAGCTATCCATTGTTCTAGATTTGTTTGCGGACAGTGGAGGTGGGTTAGGAGAGCTGCTGCTGTGGTACACTAGGCCGGTTGTCCCTTACCAATTGTTATTCATTTTCCACTGGCCACATGAGCGTGGTTTGTGAAAACTAAAGAAAAGACGACTATAACTAAATCAAAGTGTTGCCCTTAGCAACAAGGTTCCTTCTCTTATTGGTCAGTTGCTATGGACCACAGCTTCTTTTTAAAAAATCTGTTTTCCTAATTCAACCCGCGGCCTCGGAGGCAGCAGGTGACATTGAATGAAGTTAGTTGATGTGCAAGGTTAGCCAGGTTAGTCACATGTGCTTCAGTCTTTCATTTAAGATGTTTATAAGGAATGCATTGTTCCACAGAGAATATAAATGATGGCCTTTCACTCCAGTAATTGCTTTAAAGTGCTAAATATTTTTCCTTTGCATGTAAGCGCATGATTGTCTGTTGTATTACACCAAGGATAGGCAACCTTGGCACGACAGCTGTTGTGGAACTACAAGTTTCATGAGCCATTGCAATACTCTGATAGCCACAGGTATGACTACCAGAGGCAGATGCATGATTGGAGTTGTAGTTTCAGGACTGGTGTGCTGAGGTTGCCCACCCCTGTGTCAAACTATTTTAGCCTGCCTCTTGAGTGAAACCTTTTTTTTCTTGTCTTAAAAAGGCAATAATTAATTGATTGGTGCGGTTTTGCCATTTGCTTGCTGGATTGGGTGCTTAGAGACACCGGAAGTCCTCGGGTGCCTCTGTGGCATGCTGGGGTTCTGGTGTGTGCTTGCACCGTGCTCCAGGCATACCTACCCTCAACTTATTCATTGTATAATATTTGGCTACGTTCTCGAGACACAAGAAGGTAGAGGGCTCTTTCAGAAGTGAAGGTTAAAGGAGAACTATGGGGTTAGTGCTTTTCCCCATAGTTCTCCTAAGGGTAACGGGAGGACACAAACTAGCGTCCTCCCATCACCCTAAGCTCAGTATACCGCGAGCTACAGCTCATGGTATACTGAGACGCCGCAGCTGAATCGGATCCCGACAATTATGTCTGGATCCGCCCAGCTGTGTGAGTGACAGCAGGCTCTGCCTATCTAGAGGCAGAGCCAGCTGTACCCGCCTCCTCCCCCGTCCGTTCCGCCAGTCAGCACTGGAGGATTGGAGCGGTTGGGGGGAAATCCAGTCCCTCCCCTGTCACGGCTCTCTGCCGTGACAGGATCGAGAGGTGAGCGGACGCCGGTATGTGTTTGCTCACTTCCCAATCTATTGAGCCGACCTGTGACAGTCTCATTGTCACAGGTCGGCTAGAACTATGAGGATGAGTGAAAAGCACTCGCTTCATAGTTCTCCTTTTTAATCCCTTTATTAGTTGTCACCGAAACAGGTGTCTGTATAGGAAGATTTCCTCACTTCCTGTTCTGGTGACAACTGTAAGAGTTCTCATCACTTTGTGTCCTGATAACTAGAGATGCACTGATACCGGTTTTTCGGGATCGAGTACAAGTACTGAAGTACTGATATTTATCTACTACTGGTACTTCTGCTAGCATGGAGCCAGCTTCCCAGCCAATCAGGGAGGAGGATCATTACCCGCTGATTGGCCGGGAAGCTCACTGCATGCTGTTTGGCCAGCTCGATTGTGATTGGCAGAGAAGTACTTGCCCAAATACTCTGTAGCGGGACCGATACCAGTATCCGTGCATCCCTACTGATAACAATGGTCAGTAGAGAGGTCGGATCTCACCTGTGGGTGCACAAAGCAATGTGGCAATGTTGCTAACACTTTCTTTTTAAACTTTCCAAAACTAATGCTGGCCATACACAGATTTCTCCCATTCTCAAATCATTTCATTCCCCCATTCACGCTAAAGAGTATCCCCTGCCAGATATTGTATTCTGACAGCCAGTGCCCACGTCTATCAGAATACCTGAACAGTGACTGCATCTATCAAGCTCTAGTCAGTGTTTGCCCAACATTTTGCCATGCGTCTCCTTTAACAAAAGTAGATTGAAAAATCTACTTTTTTGGACCCGGGTGGTGTTGGCAGGGCAACCCATGGATTACATTTCGGCCCATTCAGCAACAATGGTCGAAATTCGATTCATGAATGGCCTACTTAAAAATAAAATATAATTTCAGAGTATGAACATGTTTCAGAGTATAACCTGTTTATTCAATAAGGCATTAAAAGGGAGGCAGGAGAGACTGCAGGAACGTATGTGTAAATGTCTTGTGGAAAGAAGGGATAAGACTGAATCCTGTAAACAAATGAAGGGTGTGAATAAGGTTCAGGAGGGCAGGATTTTTAATATGAAGCTAAAGATCAAGAACACGTGGACATGACCTCAAACTAGAAGGAGGAAAGTTCAACGCTAAACATAGAAAGAATCATTGTAATTAGAGTAGTTGGCTTTTGGAACAGACTTCCATCAGAGGTAGTGAGTCAGTCAACAGTAAGTAAATTCAAACATGCTTGGGACAAACCTAGATCTATACTCAGAAAATATGTGAAAAGAAAAATCTTGATGGACCACTTGGTCTTTTTCTACTGTCACTCCTTCTGTTCTAAAAGGGTAGAATGCTGTAACCAACAGTAGCCAATCAGAAATGATCTTTGAACTTACTCCACTAATCTGAAATCTGGATGTTTTTCTTTGCACTGCTAGATAACGTAAGCTTTAAAATGTGTGTGTATACTAGGGATGCGCCCATACTAGTATTAGTGCCGATGCCGAGTACTTGGCCAACTACTCGTACTTGCCCAAATGCTCCAATGCCTAGCTCGATATCGGGAAGCCGGATGTCGCATCATTACACGCTGGCCGGCTTCCTGATCGACCAGAAAGCCGGCTCCATGCTTTCTTGTCGCCTAGTGACGAGAAGCATGGGGCCGGCTTCCCTGCTAAATGGGAAACTGGGTGGCGAGTCTTTACACGCCGCCCAGCCTCCCGGCTAATCAGGAAGCCAGGTGGCGAGGCATTACACGCCGCCTGGCTTCCTGAATGGGACTTCCGGTAATCGTACTTGATACCGAAATACCGCTGTCGGTGCATCCCTTATGCATACACACAGTATTTGCCACGTATGAAAAATATTTAATCTATCAACCAATTATGTATTTTGTTGTAACAACTCGAAGTTGCTAAACTTGGGTTTAATGGACCTTTCCAGCAGTCCTAATTTTTTCTTTGTCTTTTTTTTAATTCATTGTTCCAGCGCCAGCCTATCCCCGGCAGAATTCCCGACACTGGAGCAATGTTCCCTATATGACTATGCCCCTTATCCGTTCGCATGGAAAACCATTTGCGCACCGCAGTGAGCTGAAACATGCCAAGCGCATTGTGGTGAAGCTGGGGAGTGCGGTGGTGACTCGAGGGGATGAATGTGGATTGGCTCTTGGAAGGCTGGCATCCATTGTAGAGCAGGTGAGCAGGAGGAATATTCTCACAAGGAGAATGAATGTCTAGATTACATGTTGAGGCAACTCTGTTCAAAAATGTTGATTGTTCACTAATGCACAAACCTTTTTTTTTTAACTCTTTATCAGAGTTGTTCAATTTCCTTCACCGTTTCTATGTGCAACAGTGCAAGCAACCTATGAGAATAAAATTTCGGGGAGTTATTGCTAGAGTTTCCAAGATGTAAATGTCAAGGCTTCCCACCCTAATGTTGGATTCACTACCAAGAGAGTCACCAAGCTGTAACAGGCATGCAGGATAGGATGTTCGGACTTTTGCTGACTTCCCTGGCTGCATTCTTTTTCCATGTCAGAAAAAGGATGACATCCCTGGAATCTGCATCTTTACAATCAAGTCTGCCATGCCATCTTTGATATATCTGTCTTTGCAGGTTCTAATTCGGTTATTAGTGAACTTTAAACTTGTTGTTTTTTTGCCAACTTGCTGAAATAACAAGAACACTTAATATGACAATAAAAATCAACAAAAAGGAAAGCAGTAAAACTATGGCTGGTGGCCTTTGCCCCATATACATGGTATCAAGATCACACATATTAGTTCCTTAAACCGTTTTTAAACTGAGTGGTGATGCCTTTAACACCGATGACTGGATTTGGGTGAAATGGTTCGAGAATTGCTGATCAGATTCAGGTTGCGTCTTTAGTGTTTCCGCTTAATCAAGCGGGCGGTTACTTGTACATATATCACTATTCTAATGTATCCTCTTCCATAAAATACATCAGCAGTTGACGGGTTTTCAGCTGTGCATGCAAACTACGTCTGCATTTTGTTTTTATGGATCACTGATCTCTATCATCTAACCTTTGGTGTGGCTCTAAGTACTGGTGATGATCTTTTGAAACACCACGCATACCTCCTTAGGATCAGATTTTCAGGTATTTTCAAAATATCATAAAATACATTTGATATAGTGTAATACATACTGGACTCGGTTCATGGCATGCTTGGGGATGCATTTTGATAGCTACAGGCATTAAAGGAGAACTATGAGGTGAGTGCTTTTCACTCTAAGGACCCATTCATACCTTTCCAGTGTGGTGCATCACAATAAACCCATGACACCCCAGTGCACTATGGCAACGGAGCTGTATTTCGGGTATAGCAGTCAAATCGTGGGGTTTTGTTTTTTTGTGTGTGGGAGGTCAAATAAAGAAGGGTTTGACCTTAGACCATATATTAAAAAAACAAAATATATATGTATATTATAAAATTATCATCTAATTCCAGGTGTCTGTGCTGCAAAACCAAGGCAGAGAGATGATGATTGTCACCAGTGGGGCTGTGGCATTTGGTAAACAGCGTCTCCGCCATGAGATACTCTTGTCACAGAGTGTGAGGCAAGCATTGCATTCTGGACAGAATCAGCTGAAGGACATGGTAAGTTTTGTATTATGTGTTGGAGCTGTACTGAGAAAAACATAACCTTGATGAATGTTGTTACATACTGTACATCTCTTATGTCGTCCTCAGCAAGTTCCAGTACTGGAGGCTCGAGCTTGTGCAGCGGCTGGACAGAGCGGGCTGATGGCTCTCTATGAGGCTATGTTTACACAATACAGCATTTGTGCAGCTCAGGTAATGCATGGGGAATAAAAAGAAATGGACACCCCATATTTTGTGGCATTTCTGTAGCTGTCCCACAGAGCAGGGGTCCCCAGCTAGTGGCTTGGTAGCCAATAGCCATAGGTGGCTTTCTGCAGATACTCGGCATTTGTCATGTTATAATCTTCCCAAAGCCAAGCTAGTTACCTACATGATCATATTCCTCAAAATATTTTATTTGTTAAATTAACCTTTTGACTTTTAGCAGGCTGCTGAACAGATAAGTTAGTGCCCAGGTTAGCTGTGATATAAAGTGCGTTGTGGGCTTGGCTTTTATGAATAATTATCTGCAGGGTTTGGTAGTATATTTGCTGAGGGCAGTGACCCCATATAGTCATGAATTTAAATAAATGCACAAAAAGTACTGATTTTACCATTGCTGTTTTTATAATGTGATTTATAAATACAGCAGTAGATATTACGTGCTACATATTTATCCTGTGTCTTTTTTTGGATCCTGGCATAGTAATTTTTTTAGTGCAGGGCTTTTGACGCTGAAAAAAGTTAGAACTTACCCTTACCCTAAAAATGAGTCTCTAACTCTGAACCTAAAAACCTCTCACTTAATCACCATAAACTCTTAAAGTAAAGCAATTCTGCCACTTTAAATATACTAAAAGCTGCTCACGGGTATGAAATGAAGGCACATGCTTGCAGCAGCTTTCTGTATACTGATCAGGCAAAGCTTTGATATTGCGGGTGGTGTTAGTGCTTGCTGTTATTTCCCACATCTATACATTCCTATTGGCCCATAAATCTGATGGACTGCCCCACTGGCCAGTAGGAATGTGTGAAAGAGGTTAGGGGGCAAGCTTCAACACTATGAGAAAGTGCTGAAACATTGTCCAGGCAGAATAACCCGATATTGGGGTGACACAGTTAGGCCGTCACCTCTGAATACCTGCACGTCTTACCAGTCAGCGGTTTTTGTTATTCTTAAAGTGACAGTCTAAACTCTTAAAGCTGATGTTTTAATCTTCTATTTTGTCTTCATTGGTTCGTCCTTTCCACCTTCATCAACACGTTAGTGAAGTTAACATTGTTAACTTTCTTTTGTTATTACAAGCCTTATTTTGGACCCAGTGACATCACTAGATCTTTTACTTCTCTATGGAATGCAGGAAGATCATGGTTGGTGGGAAGTACAAGCAGGGTGCTTTACATCACTTCCTAAAAACAGGAAGCTGCGGAAATGCCCACATGTTGATGCTGAGCCTCCATGATTAAAATTACAATCCATTGAATGAAAGGGCCAGGGATAGTCAGGCTGGGAGGAAAGTGCTGGACATCTTCCAGCCAGGAAATAAGGTGTGCTCTATCTGACTTGTTGCAGCTGTGAGAAGCTTGCAGTGTGCAGTGAAATCAGATTAAGCATTTTCATGAGTGAAGCCAGTACAACTAAGTAAGTAAGCTGGAAGGTAAGGCTGGAGCTTTAACCTTATTTCCCTTTAAACCTTGACCCCAACAGAACCATAATGCTAATGTGGCCTTCATCACTACAGCAGTTCTTACCTTATCTAATGCTGTTGCTGTCAGGGCCAAGTTGCCAGGTTCAGTGTGGATTCTAACCTTTCTCAGTGCATGTTTTCTTTTAGATTGGGAGCCAATGGGCTCTGTTATGATTTTGCTGTTTTGGTTCTATCTTGTATAGTTACCCCCTTTTTAGACAGGTGCAACACTGGCGCCTGCTGCATAGTCACAGTAGGCCCTAGATTGGGAGTGCCCAACTGTATGGTCCCATATGCTCCTTAAAGTCTGTTCACAGTATAACCGATATCATGTGAAGGTGAAATTATAAACTTTTAATGTTTATTGCAGTCTGCTGTATTGCAGGTATTATGCTCTGTATGCACTTTTGCTATCAGTAGACCTTACCATTGCTGGACAGCAGCCGAGTTCGAGCACCATAAACCTAGATCTTTCTTTTACTGCCTTCATCGAGGGCAGACAGATTAATCACATGGTATCTAAAATATGTGATATTTATTTTGCCATTCTGTATAACTCAGTTCACCTGAAAAGACCTCATTACCCAGTAGGAAGGCAGTGACCGGACTGTGTGCCAATGTTCACAGACTAAGCTCCAGGCTTGGTGCCAAAAATAGACTTGGTACAATACTAGTGGTGTATAGGTGACTGCTATGGAAAAAAGTTTCTTCAACCCATTAAAACCAGACTTTTACTTTATATTTACCAGTAAATGATAGGTGGAATGTAAATATGTTGTGCTACAGTGCAGGTAGTTGTGTTGGGTTTAAGCCTTTTTTTTCTTTTATTTCCTTCCAGATTCTGGTCACAAATCTGGATTTCCATGATGAGCAGAAGAGACGGAATTTAAATGGCACTTTGCACGAGCTGCTGCGGATGAACATTGTGCCAATCATTAACACCAACGACGCTGTAGTTCCTCCTCCTGAACCGAACAGTGATCTACAGGGGGTAAATGTGGGTGAAGTATACCTGTGGGCTCAGGCTGCCTGCAGAGCCACTTTAGCGCTAGTGCATGGCTATTTTCTGCATGGGTGCCGGAGAAGACAGGTGATGCATTACTGCAGGGAGCAGTGTCAAGGTTTGGTGACGTATGACTTCTATAGTGTCTCATTCTTTCCTGCAAATATATGAACACATAAAGCTATCTGTGAAAGAGCAGTAACTTTGTATAAGGGCCTGTTCACAATAATGTGTTGTGGTATGGTGCAATGCATGGTAACGTAAAAACACAGTACAGTCCCATTCATTTTGAATGGTACCCAATGGTCCTAAGCAGTGCTGCACAAAGTATTTCTGTTTTAGTGCACTGTAACGCACAGATGGGACCTATCCTTATGCTGTTGTACATTGTGCCCTCTCCCCTTTTTTTTTCTTAAATATCTTACCCCAGTGCCCAGTAAATACAAGTCTTGGAGCCTGTGACACCACCTCTTCTTCTGCAAATGCTCAGTGTTGTTTAGTTACCAATGGGAGGGTTCTGTCAGGTACCCTACATTACATCTCATGGACGTAGGTGTGCTTTACAGGACTGCATGTCCTGTAATCGTTTGAGATTGTAGACTTGGATGGCAGTGATTGGGAACGACCAGGGGATCCACAGACTGGATCCACCCTCTTCAGGCAGCAGTAAAATAAGGATAGTGACCGATTGTCATTACAGGAAGCTATAGCCAAAAAGCTCTGTCCAGGACAATTTAGGCAAGAGATTAATTATTTTGCTCAAGCTCGCACCTGTGTTGGACTACAATCTCAATACAAATTGGTAAACTAAACATGAGATTGTAGTCCATCACAGGAGTAAGCTTGGACCTGTGACTACTTTACAACACACACAGGGACCATGGGGAACAAAAGTAGCCCCCCTCCAGAAGGAAGGACAGTGTCAGCAACAATTCAGAGATGATTTGAGGATCTACAGCCAAGTGATACACAAATAAGATACTTTTTTGTTAATAGTTAAGGTACTTTAATTAATTTTTAAGATTTAACTTCTGAGATTTGTGTCACTTTAAGGCCATTCAGGAAAACCATTTTTTTTCTTTTGTTGTTGGATCTTTACTTTTTTTTTTATCTGTAAACTGATTTCTGTGTGTGATCAAGATTGTACTTGGACTTCCTGTTCCTTTCTGGCTGCTGAAAAGACCAAAATGACTAAAAATCATGCTGAGTCAGTTTCTTAACATATATTTGAAGCTGTCCTTGGCCAACCTTTCTTCCTATATATTGGCGTGTTTGACCTTTTAATTGAAACCACATGACTAATTATGCTTTCCAAGGCTCAGTGTGTTGACAAGGTCTTGTATATGTACATGAGGCCATATTGCCAGCTAGACCTGGACACTGCATCCAATGTGACATCACTGAGTCTTCGTGCACTGCATAGCATGCTGTTTGCTTGCTTGCTTGCTTTCTTCTCGGCTATATTTTTCTGTTCATATACTAATTATTAGAATCCAGATCTTCTTCTCTTTCATCTACAACCATGTTGTGCCTTTTCTTCTCCTGACCTTGCTTTACTCCACAGGTGATCAGTATAAAGGATAATGACAGCTTGGCAGCTCGACTGGCTGTTGAAATGAAGGCAGACCTAATCATGGTCCTTTCTGATGTGGAAGGTACTGATAAATGATTGTCATCTGCCAGCAATTAAGAGTAAACTTGTTTCTCTTTGTGTTGTTGGGTGTGCCTATGTGCCTATGTGCCTGTCCTCATTATATACTTTCCAGGTTTTCCTAGAGCTAGGTTATAAACTTTGAGACCAGGAGGAAAAATCAGGCAATGACATAAATGGGATGAAGGCATTTTTAATGAGACTCATTTTGAAATGTTTTTTATGTAAAAGATTTCTTGGTTTTAGATAGGAGTGAAGTAGAAGCTGATCTGCCATGGCTTAAAGTATATCTAAAGCCCTTTTTTCACATAAAATAGACCAGGGTTAGAACCATAGCCATGTGGATGGGTAGGGCATCATGACAAATTCCTCTCTCATGCCCTAGATGTTAGATGTGTACTGGTCTAAATGACAAATGGATACCCACCCCACAGACATCTAATATAAATGGGTCTCGTACTCTTGAGGGCCCTTGTGCAGTTTGCCAAAATGGTACATCACTTTCCTGCATGCATATTCCAGCTGTTGGTTCACATTGGGCAAACATTAATGTTTTGGCCTTTGAAGAAAGAAGGGGGGCAACCATGGCACCAGATTTGGAGGGAAAAATAATCCTGACCGTTAATTTTATCTACCAATAGTTCTTCACCAGGTGGCCTACAGACATATAGATGTTGCCTGGCAGGATCCTGTGTGTTGCTGGTAAAGCAATAATAATTTTTTAAGTCTAATATGTATGAAGCAAAGTGAATCATCTATATACCTGTTCTGGGTCAGTGATTCAGCAATGATTGGTGCCAGAGGGTCATCATAAGAGCCAAAGAACTGTGGCCGATGGAATTATTAGCAATTCGCAGTGGAAGCCCCATGGCATCTCATGGCAGATACCCTTTATCTCTTTTCTGATAGGCATTTCATAATTTCACCTTTTTTGTTTTTAGGTCTTTTTGACAGTCCCCCTGGGTCAGATGATGCCAAGCTCATTGACATATTTTACCCAGGAGATCAACAGTCTGTGACATTTGGGACTAAATCAAGAGTTGGTATGGGAGGCATGGAGGCAAAGGTATGACTTATTTTTTCACCCTTCATATCAACTTTATTGAAGCGATGGTATAAAACATTTAAAATACATGCTCATAGTTATGTTCATTTTTTCTTACAAGTGGCTTCTAAACTTTCTCTAGGTCAAAGCTGCTTTGTGGGCCCTTCAAGGTGGCACCTCAGTGGTGATAGCCAATGGCACTCATCCTAAAATATCTGGTCATGTGATCACAGACATCGTGGAAGGGAAGAAAGTTGGCACTTTCTTTTCTGAAGTAAAACCAGCTGGTGAGTTGAAATTCTAAATGATTATGTTGGGGGCTCAATAGATCCAGGCATGAGTCTTTTTAAATAATAAAGGTCCTTCTCAGCAATTATTGTACCGTAGATATTTACATTTGATATGCGTTATAGTGTTTCTGGATGAAATATGCCGGAGGGAGTAGTGTCTGGGTGGACCTTGTGTGTTTTCCGGAACAATAACATTTTACTAATGCTGATTTAGATGTGCGGCTGGTCCCTTTGTTTGCCAGTCCTGGTAATGTTGGTGATGCAGTGTGGGATAGTAGTTGATAGACATTATTTTTGTATCTTATACATGGACCTTATAAGTGGCTCCTTCCACCATAGGGGTTGGTGGTTCCTTCCACCGACCTCCTTCGTCACTACTGTGTCCTGTAGTAGGAGATGAAGGTAGGAATCATTGAGCACAGATGGTTATCAGGCATCTGACACTCCAGGAAGTGTCGGATGTAGAAGATTCTGCAGGCAGCAGTATTTCTTGAACACAGAGGAGAGCAGCAACACTGTCAGTAGGATAGACAAGTATAATGACAAGGTCTCTTTTAAGCAGAGCTCCAGGTAAAAATAGCCCATTAAATGATAAAATAATAAAACCAGCTTTTGCTGCAATATTCAGCTTCAGTCCTTTAGATTTCCCCACACAGAGACCTGTTGAAGTAGAAATATTGCAAATTCTGTTGGTTATTTAAATGCATTTACACTGGGGCTGTCATCCTTGGCTTTGTTTTACAACCTCGGGAGACACTGACTTGGGCAGCATACTAGGTTTCCTGACATTTGATGTGCACATGCTATTTCTGGATCAATGACTAAGTAGATGGGGATCATCTTTATAATGACTGTATCCTGTTATGTTTTATAGGGCCTACTGTGGAGCAGCAGGCTGAGATGGCTCGGACTGGTGGCAGGAGCTTGGCTACCCTGCAGCCAGAACAAGTATGTAGGATGCTTTCATGTAAAAAGCTTGTGAATATGCTTGTGACGTGTCCTTTTAATCATTTCTAAATGTAGAATTATCATTTAAGGAGCTGAAAGTTTTAATACCCCTTAGTTGTCGCTGAAGTCGACCTCTTGGTTAAAAAAAAATAGCTGCATATTATGAAATCTGTTCATGCACAAAAAAAACAAAAACATTTTAGATGTTGTGTTGCAGTCGGCAAGATGTCTGAATCCAGGTTTTTCTCAGCACCTTGATCATGATCTGTCCTTGGAAAGAATTGGGATTGAAATTTGAGGATTGTGTTTTTTTTCATTAACTTCGTTAACATACAATGCAGAAGCCAGGGTTGTAACCTTACAGCCCCTCCTAACATTACAAAGGAGAAGCCAAATAGAAATTTGAACAGTTAAGAAACCAAGCAACCCTTACCCAAGTAAAGGCAATTTAAACTGCAAGAGGCATTTTTTTAAATATACTATTAGTATATTTATTGTTGTTGTTATTAGCAGCTTGCTGTGTTAATGCGAACGTGTAACAAATATAAAATAGGTGTTAACCCAATTTGTCTGCAAAAGTGGAAATACACTTTTTAAATAAGTTGGCCTGGTCCCTGAGGTGGATGATCTCCTTTAAGACAGACTGGAAGATTTATCCTTTATTCCGGTAACAACCATGATATTTTGGATTTGCTATCACTTTCTGTCCCAGTGAAAATGATTTAGCAAGGCAAATAGAGGGGTAAATCTCTCCAATGAGGCCACCGGCAGAAATGGAAACCTGACAACTTTTGAAACGTCCCTGCTCTCCAAAACTAAAACAAGTGTTTTGGCAAGGGCAGGGAAGCGTCTGTATCCTTGGTTTTTAATGGTACAGCATGCAATGTTGAAATGAGACCGAAATGTCACGGTAAAATGTTCTCATGTGAGGTAATTGTATGTTCTTTTACAATTCAACACATGATCAGCTCTGTTCCTTTTGAGTGGTATCCTACAGCTCAGAATAATACAATTGTACTTCCATGACAGAGAGCAGAAGTCATTTATCGCCTGGCTGATTTACTGACCGATCATAGAGATGAGATTCTTGCTGCTAATAAGAAGGACATGGAAGAGGCCGAGGACAAAGGTAAAGTACTTGTATAGTTCTGATTTACCCTCCAGTGCATAGGAAATGATCTCTCAGTTGGTCAGTTGGCATTTGTATCTAAAGCCAGAAATTTTGTTTCAAGTTTAGTACATATGCTCATAGAAACTTTAACCACTTGCTGCCCACAGCAATTTCTTACATTTGCACACACATGATAAAAATCTGAATTTTTGGCTAGAAAACAGCTTCAGACCCCCCTGTACAGACGCCAGATCGCTTATATTTCAACAGCAATCGCCGGCTGTTTAAAACGGTACCAAGAACACAGCTGCAGCAGCAGCAGCCGTGTTCTTGGTATAACCACTTCCAGCGGTTGACGTACATTTACGTGACCCTGCTGGAAGTGGTTAATGTGGTATTAAAGTCAAAAGGGTGTTTTACACTATTTCAAATGCTGATCACTTACAAAGGAGGCTGCTCCTTGATGATCAAAAGTTTTAGTTTCCTAAAAAATCATCTGGTCCCCTGAGCACTGGCCCTGATATCCTGTTTTAGGGTCCTATGGAGGTACCTTTTGTGTGTGCTAGTAAGCTCTGTGTGCATCTCCACAGACGCAAGGGCACAGCAGGTCAAGCCATACCCCTGCTTCCTTTAACATTCTCTAAGCTCGAAGATGGGGAAGCTGAGCTGAGAGAGTTGGAGCTGTTTGAAAATGGAATGACTGCAAGTGCATGGCCAAAAATGTAAAATACTTTGCTCAACAATGTATATTTGTTTGGTCTGGAGTCAATATTGAAAAAACTTTGAGAGTTGAATACTACTTTGTATGTCAGAAATGACACCAGTGGATAGTGTTCAAAAATAAAGCGTCTTTTATTCACTCATATTTGTCACATCAGAAATTGCAACTTTCGGGGCTGCACAGGGTCCCCTTCATCAGGCTTCACATGACAATTTGAACTGTATCCACTGGTGTGCTGGTGACATTTCTGATATACATTGTGAAGTGCGGCGCCATCCGAAGTCACTTCAGCACCCATCTTTCAGCACAAGGGACAGTCAGTAAGGAGTGCGGCAGTTACCCACAGTTATATTTAATACTACTTTGTCCCATTAGGGTGGACATTGGGCAGACAAATGTCATGTATTGTCTTCACCTGATCATTAGTCTGTAGAGATGTACACGGTCCAGTTATCAACAAAGAATGTTTTTTTTAGCCTTAAAGGGTTATTAGACACTCACGTGTTTTTGCATATATCTAGCAAGCAGTAGATATATGCAAAAATACAATTTAAAAAACCTTTTGAAACTGGTTTAAACTTACCTGTGTCTTTGCCACGTACTCCCGTCCAAACATCTAAAGAGTCTTGGGCGGCCGCAAAGGATCTTGGGGCGGGCGCATGCGCAGTTCAGATATTCGGCCGGGAGACGAGGAGAGATACAAGGTAAGTCTATGGAGCAGCGTGCACCCGCACAGACTCCGTGGGACATCAGAAGAGGACAGAGGAGTCAGCGCTGGATCGGAGACACGCTCCAGCGTTGGAAGGACAGCTGAAAAGGACAGTAAAGAAGAATATCGAATGAAGAGGCATCATTTAAGGTAAGTCCTGACACTAACATTGGGGGGAGGGGAAAAAAATAGCTTTTAATGTCACTTTTAAAGCTTTAACTCCGCTAATGTTTTTTAAATTATGGATAGAGCAAGGAATATTTTTTTTTTTTTTTTTTTTTTTGAGTTTTTAAATTTCCTTTTGAGGTCTACAACCTAAGAATGTTTTCACTTTTATATTTTCAGGAAGACTGGCCCCTCCACTCTTGAAACGATTGAGCTTGTCAACAGCCAAGTTGAACAGTCTTGCCATTGGACTCAGGCAGATAGCGGTTTCCTCCCAAGACAGCGTAGGTCGTGTCATCCGCAGAACACAAATTGCTAGGGATCTGGAGTTGGAGCAGGTGACAGTACCAATCGGAGTCCTGCTGGTTATTTTTGAGTCTCGGCCAGACTGTCTTCCACAGGTACTGTAGTCTAAAAAAACAATCCTAATGTGATTAAACAGCTTAATGTAGTACTTCAGAAACTTTGCTTGGTATTGTTCCAATATTACCTTTTTTTTAGCACTGAGCGCTAGCTATGCTTTTATGTTTTTTACATGTACCACTCAAAACTTGTTGCTGCTTCCCTGTTTGTTTCACACATGCATCACCTTAAAGGAGAACTATGGGGTTAAGGCTCTTCCCCATAGTTCTCCTTAGGGTAACGGGAGGACAAAAACTAGCGTCCTCCCGTCACCCTAGGCTCACTATACCACGAGCTGTAGCTACTAAGAGCTGTAGCTACTGTAGCTACTAAGACGCCGCAGCTGAAGCGGATCCCGACAAATGTCTGGATACGCCCAGCTGCGTGACTGACAGCTAGCTCTGCCTATCTAGAGGCTGGCTAGAACTATGAGGTGAGGGAAAAGCACTCACCTCATAGTTCTCCTTTTAATTCTTAAAACTGGAGCCCATACATACAGTCACTTGTGTACCACCGAGAGGAAAGTTTACATGCTATTATGCATTGCACACTTAGGGGAACCCTGGGATAATCTGACTTATTGAAAGGTTTAGCATTGTTCATTAATATGCCTTGGTAGTTGTATTTAGGGGGGTCCTAATTTATTGCTGATCAAAAATCATCAGACCGCACAGGTTAACAATGTATTTATTGTTTCAGCCATGTATGTCTTCCCCTTTTTTTTTTTTCTTTTTAAATTATCACCTGATCTGCTTATCATTTAGAGAAAGATCTTTGCAGGATACATGTACTACTGATCTATTTGGTGGCAGACGTATCTGTCTTTTCAGAGTTTCAGATGCAGGTGACCTTGGCGTCATAGAAGCAGACAATTTTGCATGTTGTAAATCGCAATGGTTCCTCTAGTTGTAGTCATTAAGGTTAACTCTCTCCCTTGTATTGACACCTTCACAGGTACAGGAGGGAGCATGTTAAAATGCAGACAGGAAATTGACTTTTGTGGGATCTTTTCAGTTCTTCCATTAATCTCGAGGCAGTTTACCGCTCACATTTTAGAAAGATTAAAGTGTCATGTTTGTCTCTGATGCACTCTGTCAGTGGTTGACCAATTAATTTTGCCCTCCATGTCAGGTTTCAGCACTTGCTATTGCCAGTGGTAATGGTCTTCTGCTAAAAGGAGGAAAGGAAGCCTCCAACAGCAACCAAACTCTGTACCGTCTCACCCAGGAGGCTCTCTCACTCCATGGAGTCAAGGATGCAATCCAGCTGGTATGTACTGATTTCCTGTGTAAGTATATCTGTAAAAAAAATAGGTTAAGGCAACTGGACTTGCTGTATTTTTCTTGAAGATGTAAGGAGACCTAAGTCCCCGCTAAATATCCGGGAATGATATGAAATGCTAGAAAGAGAAGACTGGAGAGTAGATAAAATAACATTGCGAGCTCTTGGCATTCTAAAAGTGATGACATAAGATGCTCCTGTAGGTAATGGCAACCAACCCACAGATTGTACTGTGTACAGATGAAAAGGTTGCATGTACATGTGAAACTCGAATAATTAGAATATCGTGCAAAGTTCATTTATTTCACTAATGCAACTTAAAAGGTGAAACTAATATATGAGATAGACTCATTACATGCAAAGCAAGATAATTCAAGCCGTGATTTGTCATAATTGTGATGATTATGGCTTACAGCTCATGAAAACCCCAAGAACCCCAAATCCACAACCTCAAAAAAGTAGATTATTACATGCAATCAATAAAACAAGGATTGTACATAGAACAATATCGGACCTCTGAAAAGTACAAGCATGCATATGTACTCAGTACTTGGTTTGAGCCCCTTCTGTAGCACTTACTGCAATTACTTTTGCACGATATTCTAATTATTCGAGTTTCACCTGTAAAGTTTTGTGTTAGAGGTGTCATTCTCAACCTGATTACTGGACAGAGTGGGTCATTTGAGACCTAATTTGCAAATCTAAACTGCCAAGTCTGATGGGTATCTTCTGGTAAAATGGGAAAGTAAGTGCTGAGCTAAAGATGTTTTATATCTGCCCCAGTATAAACTAGATATGTCTTTATAATTCTAGGTGAACACCAGAGAAGAGGTTGAAGACTTGTGCCGGTTGGACAAGCTGATTGACCTGATCATTCCCCGGGGCTCCTCTCAGCTGGTCAGAGACATCCAGAAAGCAGCTAAAGGAATCCCTGTCATGGGACACAGTGAGGGGATATGCCATGTCTATGTAGACAACGAGGCTAGTGTGGAGAAAGTTACAAGAATTGGTAAGCAAGGATTGCAACTGCTCTCTTGGTTAAAGTTAAAAGTTGAGTTCTCTTGACTGACGTTTCTAAGACCCAACACTTCCAGCACACTGCACTAGTGTTGTGCACAGTACTAGGATCAGTGTATTCTCTGTTTTTATTCTTACACCTTTTCCCTTTTATAGACTCTTGACATTGTTGGCATATTTTGGCATTCTGGTTTATTCTGTTGTTTCTTTAAAGTCTTCGTGCCAATTTTTAGATGTCATCTTCAGCAGCATCCAGCCACCTCATCCTTTGTCATTCCATGCTTCTTTTCCTAATGTTTCCTGCTAAAAAAAAATCTTTGTTGGCTTACTGGATCACATCTTTATATGGTCCAGCCATTGCAGTGAAGTTTCTTAACATCTCTATGCAGTTCGGGTTAATTGTACATTCCATGTATTTTCTACAAACGTTTCCTTTGCAGGTTGTCAGAGAATTCTCTTCGGGGCTGCATGTCTCTGCACTTGATAACATTGTTGGTCTTACTGCTGTTCTATAAATGTTATGTTTGGTGTAAGATTAACATCTCATTGATTTTTAACTGTTGTGATGAGTAGTAATTATGCCATTGCTTCTGTTCTTATTTTGCCCTAGTTAGAGACTCGAAGTGTGAATACCCAGCTGCTTGCAACGCCATGGAGACCCTGTTAATTCACAGAGATATCTTGAGGACTCCACTGTTTGACCAGATCATTGATATGCTGAGAGTGGAGCAGGTAATATGTGCTGATTGTAAAGATGCAACTCTTGGAGGGTTCTTGGTCACCTGATCCAAATAATAGAGACCTGTGGTTGCACACTTGTATTTACCAGGTAGAGTTAAGGGAATTATATTGTGTGTTCTTTTTGTTGTTTGTCCTGTATTTAAAATACAGTTTTACTAATAATAAGCATAAATTACATATTTCAAAAAAGAATGTTATGTTAACTAGTTGCTGGTGACCAATTGCAGCTGTGCTGCAAATTAAGTAATGGCAAATTGCATAGGGGGGTCACTTGAATACAGAACTCTGCAGTACTAGACTAGGTTCACACCTAGGCGACACCGGATTGCCGCACGGTCAGGAGTCGCCAAGGTGTGAACCGATCGCGCTGTAGGTGCCATTATTTTCTAAAACAGCCGCGCGTTGTGTTTGGCAAAAAGAAGGTACTTGTACCTTTTTTTTTTTTTTGGGCGATTGCCGCGTGGCAATCGCTGCCTGCATAGCACAGGACCGCGCTATCCCGGGACGCGTGCGGTCTCGTGCAGGTGTGAACCTAGCCTAATGTGGAACTGCCACTCTCAGACACCGGTGTGCAAAAAAATTTGAAAATCTGGGAAAGATCAACAAAGATTTAATAATGCTAAATCAAAGTTAAGCTTTAGAGTCCTCTGGGTAAGATGTGCTGTTTGTGAAGCGCATCACTTAACAAAATGATTGTCTAGAAGTAAGGAGCCAGACCGCTTCGGTACAGATGGGTCTGAAAATTAAAACAATTAGCACCCACACAACAAAAAGAGATCCAAGGGTATGGAGGAGGCGATGTGAATTGACTCCATAATTGATGGATGTTCGGAAGACCAAACAGACTGGCAAGCCTGTTAAGAGAAGGTCCCAATGAACTTCCAAGCCCCAGAGTAACACCCGTGGGGACTGAATTTTTTATTTTTTTTTATTTTTGCCTTGGTGCTAAACCTTCTGTTAGAGGGACTTCCCCCTAGGAATTTGGCAAGACAAAGAGGCACACAAATAATCTTGACACAGAACTTTTTTTGTGGATTTTTATTTATGTATTTTTTGTATTTTGCTTTAATTCTGTTGTAAAGCACTTTCATCAAAAACAGGATGACAAATTAAAAAGGCCAAACGCTATGTTAATCATTCTATTCTCCACTGCTATAATTGGATTTTGTCTTGTCCATCTTTTCCTCTAGTGTTTGTAAATGTGTTTATTAGCCACGTGGGCACTGATTTCTAAAAGCTAAAACTGGTGGTGGTATGCAAAATATCCAGTCAGGTTTTGGGAAAAATGATGAAAGACGTGTCTGTTAACAAACTTCTAGGTTAATAAAAGGATGGAGGAATGACGCAAAATATTTCCATTGCTTTTCTAAAGAGAACTTCAAAACTGGTTTTCCTTTCACAGGTAAAGATCCATGCTGGCCCTAAGTTTGCCTCCTATTTAACCTTTAGCCCTTCGGAGGTGAAGTCCCTGAGGACAGAATATGGAGATCTGGAATGCTGTATTGAAGTGGTTGATGGTATTGAAGATGCAATTGAGCACATTCACAAATATGGCAGCTCCCACACAGATGTCATTGTTACAGAGAATGGTGAGTAGCCTGTACTATGAGATCTGTATCCACATTAAAGGCCATCTAATACATCTATTGTTATTCCTATTGGAATGATAAACAGGCATTTGGACAGGGCAGAGCTTTTACATCATTTACCTAAGCTCTTGCAGATAGTGCAACATGCTTTCAATCTAAAGCTATTCAGCACTCGATTTCAAGTTCCAAAACCTAATTATTGACAGAGAAGCAGCATACAATTCCATTCCATATTTTTGATGTCTAGTCACCATTTAAGTCATTTTGAAAGGAGAACCTGTCATAAAACCCTGAATGGAATCCTGTAGTAGACCCGAATCTGGTAAGTCCCGACTGGTACACAGCAAAGAGAAACTCAGACTAGAGGGGTTGAACCAACCCTCCTGTACTGGATCCAGGCCCCATGAGTTTAGCAAGGGGGGCCGGGGCGGAGAGGACTCAATAATTGCCTTCAGCTGTAGGCTGAGTATTCCCCCTGCCCACGGCTCTCCGCAATTAAATAAAAATTTAAACTTTTTCTTGTATATCAATCCACTGGTACAGGCAGCCCTGCGCAGACCGGAATTGTCAGGATCCGCAGTCCCAGGATTACTCTACCTGAGTGGCCAAAAATAAATAAGTAATCTCCTCTCGCCCCGGGCCACCCTGCTAAACCGATGGGGCACAGGAAGAGAGGGGACTATTTAATCATTTTCGGCTACACTCAGGCAGAGTAATCCCAGGAGCCACGGTTCCCAAAAATTTTAAGTTCTGGCCTGCGCAAGGTGTCCTGGGTCAGCAGATTAATGTAAAAGAAGAGGGAGAAGAAGTTAGTGGCAGAATCTGACCTTGAGTCCTCGTTCACACGGGCCTCAGCCTCCACTGCCCTCTGAAAAGTGATCCAGAGTGGATAGCTGTTCAGACAATTATTTAGAATTTTATAGATGAAAAGAGCGCGGTGTAACTTATTTTGCATTTGCAGCTGTTCAGACAAGCCGTAGAGCAGCTGATCCTGAATGCATTTTTTGTTGTTTTTTTTTTAAATCCCAATGGGGATCTTCTTTTCTATTGCAATACTGTGCCGCAGCCATGGTCCCGTTTTATTGGAATGATTGCATGTACGGGGCCCCATGATTTGTATTGACAGCCCTGATAAGGAGCATTCATCACTTGCGTAACTCAATTTAGTTGACTCTCCTGTCTAGGAGGATTTGCTGTCATTCATTGTTTGTTCTCTCTCAAGCCATTGTGACTTTTTTGCTTTGCAGAGGCCACAGCAGAATTCTTTCTCCAGCATGTAGACAGCGCTTGTGTGTTCTGGAACTCCAGTACTAGATTTTCAGACGGTTATCGATTTGGACTAGGTAACATTTAATGCTACAAATGTTTGTCTCGTGAGATGTATAGTAAATATATATGTTCATATGTACATTGAGTGGCCAGATTATTATGACCACCCATCAGTACTTCGTTGGGCCACGAGATGACGTCGTTGGGCCGCCTCGTGACTCCACGAGATGTTGAAAGGTGATGCGAGGAATCTGACACTGCACTGTTGCCCTTCTGTTGTCTTGTACCAGTCTTGCCACTCTCCATTCTGCCCTAACATTGACTAGTCGCTGAAGGCCACAATTCACACGTTCAGACCCAGATTTTCGGCTGACAGTCTAGCTTTTAAACACTTTAACAACAGCTGCTCTTGAACATTTAACAAATTCTGCTGTTTTGCTGATACTCGCTCCATGGCTCCGAGCGCCAACAATCATCCCACGTTCAAAGGCTGTTAAATCGCGTTGTTTCCCCGTATCTTCAGAAACAAATCACTACTACTGTTGTGGTAAACAACCTGCTTCCCTATTTATAATGGTCTGGCCCTCTAGCAACTTCAGCGCGAAATTATAGCTAATTTGCCTACAAACGTCAGGTGGTCATAATAATCTGGCCACTCAGTGTATATGCCCATTTTGAGTATACATTTTAAAGTGCTGGTACACCTTTAGTGCAATTATACTTTGACAAGCTCTTGCTCCTAGTCGTTTCTTCACCTGTTCCCAATTCAGCAAGATCTTGGCTGTGTGGCCGATTGTCAAAATCTTTTTCCCTGAGCCTGTGCATGTGTTCCACATTTGTTTACTCCCTGGGGACAGCTTGTACCCTGCCGAAGCACAGAGTGTGGCACACATGCACAGACTCGGAGAAGAAGTTTATTTATTTTTAATTTCTTTATTTGAAGCGAGTATCGGGAACTAACATGAGGCAGTTTCATTAAGCATCAAGCCCAGTTTGCACTTTATATTAAGTAAATGCCTAAAGTATTACTAAAGGTGTGGCATTTTTTTTTACCTTGGTGCATTCTCTGTATTAAGGTAAAAAATGCCCAGT